CGTTCTGGTTTAATAAATCTCAGCAGTGACGACGAAGAAATTTATTCAATTAAAGTTGCGTTCAATTAAAATAATATTTTTTGTTTTGTATTGTATATACATTTATATTTTTAATAGAAATTAAGTTGTTTGTTTTTAAAAAGTTCTCGAAACTCAACTCCTCTTTTTGCATTAGCTCTGGTTTTCACACAACATGTTATTTTTGAGAAACCTATCTACCGTGCTGTAGAAGGGCTACGTGTAGTATTATTTCTATTACTGTAATTATTTAGCTAGCTAATCTCTTTTCGTATTTTTTGCACTTTATATGACAATACGATCATTCGCGTTTTGTCAATCTGGAAACGACCTTTATTCTCTTCATCCCAAAACTACCCAGATTGCAGAATAAAATTATTAATAAATTAGTCAAATTTAAATGTACGTTAAGTAAATACATTATAATTTATTGTTCGATTTATTGTTCCCGTTTTTATTATCATTGTCTCTATTTTTAGTGGACAATGACTTGTGTGTTCTGTGTTTTCAGTTGTGCTGCAAATTGGGCACGCGTTCTGTCTTTATTTGGAAAAGAAAAAAAAAAAAAATAATATAACATTTTTAATTTAAACATTAACAAATATAAAACATGCAAATACAACAAAATAAAATCACTCGATCATTATTATATTAATTGTAAATACCAACCGATGATCTGTAAATTAAAAAAAAAAACAAACGAAATTCTATGATATAATATCTTTTGTCAATTTCTACAATACAAATTGTATAAGAGAAAGAAAAGAAAACAATCTTATTAGATTATAGAATTTTATCATTCTAGGTTTTACTTGTTGTTTTTTTTTTATAAAAAATAAAAAATAAAAAATAAAAAAGAATTTCTTCAGCTTTTAGTCCCCTATTATCAATACTGTGCACGCGTTTGTGATACGAACTAATGTATTAGAATAATATATAAAAAAAAATAAATATTAGAATAGGAATCTTCTTTACCGACAGATGTGAACAAATAAAAGAGGATGAAGATCTATCACTAATAACGTTTAATAAGAAATACGTTATACCGTTATATTTTATTATTGTAATACGAATTGATAGATTAGCTAAATTGGGAACAATGTGTTAGTATAACAAAACAATGTTAAATAAAATTACAGCAAACCAACGGTTTCCTTAAAATGGGGTCATTGTATACTGTTATTGGTTTTTATTTATTTAAGTATATGAGATGTATAAACAAAATTCATGTTCACCATTCTTTTTCGAAAATATACATACTTGTGAAAGTGAGAGAAAATTCGAGAACAAACAGAAAAGCAGATAGTTCTGTTTCGTATGAACAAAAAGAAACTTAAATCACACATTAACCGTTAGAATATAAAAATAAAAAAAAAAACATTAAATTAAGTGTATAATGATTTTCAAAATAAATAACGCGTTTTCATTGAATAGAAACGCATGCGTTTTATTTTCAAAGTAGGCAGTGCACTTAAGTCTATCGCTTAATGTTTGGTGGAATCAAAACTTTTCGAATATTCTCTAACGGAAAGTAAAGGAATAATTTAAATTTTGTATGTTCGAGAATGATCGAGAAGTTTCGAAAATGATAGACAAAGAGAGATGATTAGTATACTATATAGAAAAGAAAAGGACAAAATGGCGCGAACTTGTATGATTTTATTTTAGAAATTACGAGTGGTGTGTTTTGCATGAAAGAATACGATGTAAGACGCACGAATAATACAAATATAATTACGAAGATATATTGTTGTTAAGAATTATGTTAATAATTAAAGTAACATAAAACACACGCGACGAGTATTAACCGTTTGGCTGCTTATGTTATGCCAAAAATGTTAAGAGATGCTTTTTTTTTTTAAACTGTGGATTGTTTAACACTAAATATACCTGACCAGTCATTTTGACTATTCGAGCTATTTTAATTGAAAATCTCTACTTAGTGCCGTTGTTTTAGCATATATCCGAAAAATACGTTAGCAACCAAACGGTTAAATATTAATTTAAATAATTCTAGATACTTCACGATTTTATTCTATTTCACTATATCTTATTTAACCATTTAATAAACAT